GGGGGGTGGGCGGGGGGGGCAGCCATATTATCTGTTGGGGGCAGGGGGAGCGGCGGTGTGCCGCAATTTTTGAAAATTCATGCAAGTGTGCCATGGAAGAAAAAAAAAAAGGTTGGGAAACGCTGATCTAATTCATGTCTTATTCAAGCATTCTTATGGAAAAAAAAATCAACTTCAAGGTTGCGGCAAATCTGAATGGTTACAAAGATATACCTGAAGAAAACTTTGATGCAGCTTTGAGACATTAAACGCTAATAAAACTTAGTAAACTTCTGAGGCCCATTTATTAAACAATTTTCCACTGTGCATTTTTAGGAAGTGAGCATCTCTATTCTGGGATAAATGAATGTAGAAATAGTGCAAACGGTGAACACATACCACTGACCTTAAGTTTTTTGTTTAGAGCATCAACACAATGACTGAGGCTCATAAGAATCTCAATTAGAAACATGAGCTTTTTTCAGGTGGAAGTAAAGAAAAGGATGACAAATTAGTAGCACATCGCAGCTTTAACGCAAAAGATGGAAATAAATGGTTTCCAACTGTTTATCGATCAATTAGGCTCTTACAATGACTGTGTTTACATGGCAAAAAAGCAGGCTTATGTCTTTTTTTCCCCCCAGAAACACACCCATATAGCAATGAATGCCAGGAGCTCTGTCTCATAACATCCCCACATTTATTTCTTTGTAATGTTGCTGGAATTGTTTTTATTTATTTATTTATTTTGAATGTCTGGAAGATGACAACATCTTATTTTATATTTCAAACAATAAGAGTGTGAGGACAACATTTTTTCAGGCTCTCTTTATGACAGAATATTCAATTACTTGGGACAACATTTTCATACAAACCATGACTATTTCTCACAGCTCCTGGCACCATAGCACTGTGGTACTGGGAAGGGTTTTTGTAGACATGCTCCGGCAGTGGATCAGCTAATAAGTTGATTTGCAAACTACTGATCATCTCTTAAGAGATGCCAGGTCCTCTCAGCCCCAATTGTCTTATACCAGCCAATTCCCAAAATAAAGGAGGAGGTAAAAGTTTTCAAAAGCACCTAGGTCACTCAGGAGGCAGCATCCCATTTTAAGGGTGAAAGTTGAGAGCCTAAACCACTCTTGGAAATGGTAGTTAGGCCCCAGACTCACTTGGTTGCTTTTAAAAAAGGTTACCTTCAGTGTCTTGCTGCCCCGGGTTCATCACTTCCTAGAGGGGGAAAATATTAGGATCTGAAATGCAGGATCAGGAGTCAAGAACTCCCAAACACAGTGGTGCTGGGCATTTTGGGACCTTCATGGAATTAGGGCAGTATGGTAGAAAGCATCCTTAAATCAGGGGCAGGCTATCCTAGATTGTGGGGCAAACTTCATTGGATGTCCATTTTGGATGCATTTGTAGAGGAAAATATTCTTGTAATTCTGCCTGATGGCATGCTTCCTATGTTTTTGCTTAAACTGATCTGCAGGCAGATATTAATCCAACTGCAGAAGTTCAGAATTACAGCGTGGAGTGTTTAGTCAGAGAACTAAAACTTATCCATGTCTCTCAAGCCTGAACACTTCCACTCAGAATCTCATGAGGACAGTTGTCTTGTTTCCAGTTAGGCTGCAGATACAGTGACAATAACTTCTTCCTCAGTGTTTTTGCTCCTCTGCTCAAAAGCACAGGGGTGGGGGAGACAGGCGAATATGGGGAAAAAAAATCAAATAAATTGGAAAATGCAGAAAAAGTACAGATCTAAAAATAGACAAAAGTTTATGGGATTTACATCTAGGAAAGCCAATGCCTGTTTGTAGTAATATGTCAGTATCCAGATGCCATGTTGTTCCTAAGTGTCTGTTGCTGTTATAGAGGGTTTCATCTGAATACATGATATGGAAAATAGTCCCAGGTGAAAATGTTGCTCATAAGAGATTATTGCTCTTATCAGTATTGCTGAAGCTGAGGTTTGACCATAACTATAAACATGCGATGTATAGAGTAAACACATACCATTCACAGTATAACACACAGTCTAACAAGAATCCTCTTCTTTCTTTATAAACGTGGTATCCAAAGCCAAGAGCTGATCTCTGCCTATGTAACAGGAAAAGTCTTAAAGTTTTCTATTTCTTTTTGATACTGCAGTTAAAGAAGTAACATGGATTTCGTTACATTCAGCATCTGGTCCAAGAATACGCATTTCCACTAAAGAAAACAAACCAGGAAGTCAAGGCCAAAATAAATACACACAAAATGTTACTATTGTTTTTATATATTTTATCCAGATACAGTTTCTGTCCATATTGAAAATTCTATCTGATATTATGCAGTTGAGCTTAGCTTTCAAAGGAGCTTGCTTTTATCATGTTATTATGCTTATATTCATGTTTAAGAACATTTTTTTAAAAATGAGCTCCTTCTTTAGAAGGTTTTTCTGCTTAACTTGCAAAAGACAACTCTCAAACTGACTTTCTGTGTATGATTTATATAGGTACAAAATATAAAGAATAAAATAAATCTTTATCATTATAGTTCACAATTCATTTAATAAAGTAGCAGTAGTTGTTAGAAAATTTTACTTGGCAAGACCATATTGGAGCGGTACCTGGAAAGTGGATCTAAAGAATGTTCCTACAGTTAGGCTGAGGCAGCAAGTCAAATGATGGGAATTTGCTTGGGGAAATAGATCTAATTGTAAACTAGTCAAGGTTAGATATGAGATGTTGACAGATGACAAATGGTATTTTTGAAGGAGTGGGTCACACAAGTTAACGATTTTCAATCTTTAATCAGCCACCCAACTTGGCAGAATGCATTAGATCTGAGTAAATAAGTACCTTTCAGGTTCAGGGTCACCATTCGAACAGGAGTTTCTCTGAGGCAAACCAAAAAATAGGAAGAAAAAGGTCTGTTTACTTCCAATCACAATATTAAGGGCCAAATTCTACCACCTCTCTGTTTTCAGCAGTACCTTACTGTGTACATAGGGAAGCTAGTGGAGATATTTAAATTGTAAGGTACTACTCAATAGGAGTGAGGGGTAGGCAACAAAAGCTGTGTGGGAAAAGGAAGAATTCCTCTTTGGAGTCTGCATATTTTGAGGCTTAGACTCCCTGCCCTCCAATTTTGTGGGCACAATTTTGCACCCACAACTAATTGTTGACACAAATTATAGCATTTAGCAATCTAACTATGGGATGATTGGGTCTGCACACAGTTTTGTAATTCTAAGTATTCAAAAGTCATGAACTAAGCCCCCCCCTCGCCCCAAATCTGAGATTGGCTTAAATATCATGAATTGATACATTTGGGGATTCTTCTGGGGTTTTTAACTTTAACGCTTTGTATTTTCAATTTTCCTCCACTATACTAAGGAGTTATAAACCTCTCTTTTTTCCTTAAATGAATGTGGAGATACTCATGTAGCAACATGAATCCAGAAGGTAGGCGTTGAAAAAGACACTAAATATTGCAAGACCCATCATAAAATTGCTAGACCCAATACTACCAACTTTTGCAGACAGTGCTGAATGTTAATGCCTGGGCTTAGCATATCTAAAACATCACTTAAAACTCCAGCAAAATAACAACTCTACTTCTCAGGCACAATGCCATAAGATTAACTTTCTCTTTGAAGGAGACAGAGCTTTCAGTGAATGGAGTGAGAATGAACTCCCACAGGAATTAATGATCATCACAAGATTCACCACCTTCATGTATACTGTACATAGTATCTTTTCTAACATACACCTGTAATAAAATGTGCTTTAACAAAACATGACTTTGCACACACAATTCTCCCCCATGAGAAAGGATAAAAGAGTGAGAATGAACAACATGTGACAATTCCAACTAATGTTTCTTAATGAACTCCTGAAAGAAGCTTAGATACTATGGTGAAGGCATGATAAGAATCTATATAAAGAACAGAACAGAAGAGAATATTGCTTCTGTCCATGGCTATCATTGATTTTGCTCCTGTGTTACTGCTGGTAAGTTGAAGGCGACTCCATATTAAAGAACCAAACAGGCTAGCAGCTGGAGATGTGTATCTAGACTAATAGATAGTTTGGAATCATAAAATGTGTGGAATGAAATTGGAATCAAGTTTAGGAGTCTTTAGGAAAAAAGAGCAGTCCTTTATATTTATACAGGGCTTTCAAGCTAGAAAGCCTCCCACCCCCAAAACTTCACAAGGTACGCACATCCACCTCCACCAAAATGCTGATGCCTCTGTCATAGAAAATAGCAGAAACTCAGGCTGGCACTAGGCACACTGTCTGGCATTAAAAGGGAAAAGTATCCATTGGGGAAAACTCAAGTCTCCTATAGAAGACAATAGGTTCTTCCCCATTCATATAAAACAGACAGGAACCCAGGGTAGTTTTCAGAAGGTGTTTTCTCCTGTTAGAGCCTCTAGCCCAATTCAGTACATAGGCTGGAAATCAGACTACCTACCTAAGAAGAAGGAAGAGCCACCTTGATCTGGACTCCTATGTGAACCACTGGTTCTGCACATAGAGCCCAAGGTATTTTTGAACCTTATACTGACCCCACAGTAGCTGGGCTGTTGGTATGGTGTGAAAACAATATTTAGAGACTGGTTGTAGGCTAAATGGATGGGGATGGTATTTTTAAGTGTGGTGGTGTCTTTTGTACTGTGAGTTGGTTAATAAGTACTCAACTGTTACCACTGTCAGTATCAATTAATGTTCAGATATGGAATAAGCAGGGATAACAGCCATTACACATCTTAAATTACTCAACAAATATTAAGACCCAGTCAAAAATATGTTTTTCCAAAAAAAAAAAAATCACAATAATTTTTTCTTTTAAAAAAAAATCTGAATGTTTAAAAGATCAGAATGTACTATAAACCTTTTTTATTTTAGTATTTTCCATTTTCAGCATATGAATGTTTTACTAAAATTACATGGATTCTTGTTCCCTAAAACCGCTGCTAACTGTAAAACTCACTTCCAAAAAATTATTTTAAAAAAGGAAAACAAATGTTTATTTTCCTGATTTATATTTTTGTACTCAACATCATAAAACAATAAAATGTGCTATTGCTGGCAAAGAAAAGCATACTTATAAAAAGCAAATGAAAAATTTCAATCAGCTATAGTGAAGATAAACAAACTATTAGCATTAAGATTTAAGTCATTTTATTATAATTGCTTATCCATTAATATGTAATATTGCTTATCTATACATATAGGTTCTTGAAGAGAGAATGAAATTGGAATGCAAGTGTCATGGCGTATCAGGTTCCTGTACAACTAAGACCTGCTGGACCACACTTCCTAAATTCAGAGAGATTGGATATATTTTGAAAGAAAAGTATAATGCTGCAGTACAAGTGGAGGTGGTACGAGCAAGTCGGCTCCGGCAGCCAACTTTCCTGAAGATTAAGCAGATTAAAAGCTATCAAAAACCAATGGAAACCGATTTGGTGTATATTGAAAAATCACCCAACTACTGTGAGGAAGATGCTTCCACAGGGAGTGTTGGTACCCAAGGACGCCTCTGTAACCGTACATCTCCCAATGCGGATGGGTGTGACATGATGTGCTGCGGAAGGGGTTATAACACACACCAGTACACCAAGGTGTGGCAGTGTAATTGCAAATTCCACTGGTGCTGCTTTGTCAAGTGTAATACGTGTAGTGAGCGGACAGAGGTATTCACCTGCAAATAATAGCATTTAAATAAACAGAACAAGTCACTGCAAGTGGACAGAAAGTGGAGTACAACAAACAACTACAGCATCATTTTGCACATCTAATTTTCTTTGGGAAAAAACAAAAAAAACAAAAAAAAACCCACCCCAAAACCAATCTCTCCCTACTATTTACCCTTCTAAAGGATGATGTGTTTTGGCTGGCTGGCCATTGTAACTGCTTTGGAAATAAGGGCAACAGGATTAAGGTGATGTTGAAAAACACATGCAATTTTTCCTCCTGTTTTGTTTTTGTTTTTTTAACTGCAGTCTGGGTGTCGTAGAGTTTTCCAATTAGGATTTTAAGTTATACATATCAGAGAAGCTGTCTGAATTACAGTTCCCAGGTGATGTAAAGAAAAAAAAAAAAGACTTTTTTTTGGTAAAATTTGAAAAAAGGTAAGACAACCCCTCCCATCCCTGTGCAAATAAGACTTTTTTTTTTAAAGAACTTTCTTTGAAAAGAAAAAAAAAAGAAAACCCAGCAACATTGCTACAAAAAACCCTAATTTCTAACAAGGCAGTTAGAGTAAAAACTAAGACTGATAGTGAAGGAAAAATATAAAATGGAAAAACTCCACTATTGGTTTGACATTTAAAGTTCACAAAATTATGTCAGCTGCCAGTGACACTGGAACTCTTGGAATGAACATTGAAAGATTATTATTTATGTTTTAATAGTGTCAAAAATTTTCTAAGCACTAACGGGTAGCTATGTCTTAATTCTGTACTAAATGTAAACTTATTGGAATTCTGACTTTATGATTTTTGTGTTTGGTTCTCCCTAAGTTCTTCAGTGCTACTGATCTGTTGTCACTCCACTATTAGAGATTTCAATTACTGTAGGCCTTAAAGCAATTATGAGAATTGAACAAAAAAAAAAAAAAAAAAGATCATGCAAAACTGTGGTTACAAAAACTTGATATAGTTGTTTCCTGCCAACCTCTGAAAAATAATTAGTCTTACAGCTCAGGGGTAAGGCAGGGAGCATCTATTTTCAACTTAGCATGAGGAGTTTTAGGACACAAGGATATGCTTCAACAGATATGAAAGATTTTACTTTGAAGACAAATACATTGATAGGATCTTCCAAGCAATTACACTTTCCTTTTAAGAGTTACAGCTTAATAATTCCTAGGACAAACTTGCCTACTTCCAATATTTTAAAGAGCTTAATGCTCATAAGCCAGGTAGCTAATAAAAATACAGTAGCTGAACTACAATTTATGAGTTATGATGGCTACATTAGTGTACCACAAAAAGCAAAGGAATTATGGGGTTAGCATATTTTATTCTTAAATGTCACAATTAATCTAAGATTAGCAACAATAAGTTACCCTTCCCTGGGATAAATATTTGAATGTTTAAAAAAAAAAAAAAAGAGAGAGTTTTCACAATACCCTTCCACTCCAACTCACACTCCAAAAAAGGATTCCAGCTGTTTAGTACTGTAGATCCTGGTTAATTTAACCACAAGAGCCAGATCTGTCCAACTGCAATAAAACTACATAGCTTATTTTATAGCAAGTATTCAGTTGTAGTGTGACTCTCTATCTGGCTTTCAGGAAACTTGGATGAAGTATTGTCTAATGGTGATAATCTGAATGTGCGCTTTTGCTTTTCAAAGAGTCATCTGGGAATTCTTTCCAAGTATGTGGCTCTACATGTTTTAAAACTGACTGGAGATATCTCAAGGCACCAGACTTTCAAGTGCTGACCCCTTGCTCTCTGGAAATCAGACCTCTTCCAGCAGAGCACCTCGAAGCTGAGGGGCATGTCAAGACAAGCGCGGATGTGCAGTATGCAGCGCCACAGACTCATTACTTGTGCCACACATTCAGACATTTCCTGCACTCCTAATTTGCAGCACAGGTGTGGTTTTTTGACACTGGAGATCCCAGCGTTAAAAAAACCTGCACCTTAAAATAACACAGCAGAGCATGTGACGGCAGCATGTACTGCTGGAAACCAGAGACTAGCCAGCTGAAGCCACACTCCAGCTACGAGCTAGGTGCCATGCTGCTGGATTGCTGTGGCTGCAGCCTCCAGAGGCCCTTAGAACCCCAGGTAAGGCTACTAGGGCCAGCCCAAGGTCTGGCCCCAGACTCCCCTACCCCACCCAGGGCAACATGCCATGCCATGTGCCAGAGCACGCGTGCATGGGCGTTTCCTAGAGAAAAACATTAGTGGCACATATTGTGCCGCTGCTGTTTGTCCCCAGGGAAATGCACATTCCCACTCCTGGGTACATGCCTGAGGAGTCCAAATTACTTTTGTTCAAGGTGAATACAGCCCTTGTGCAAAGGAGGGCAACTACATTAATATTAATAGGGTCACCCACACTTACGCTAGAACCACTCAAAGTCCCTCAACTCGTGGGTATTGTTGTTTAACAATAAAATATATACTGTACTTTCACTTAATTCTTGACAGGAAGCAAATAAAGCTCCCATGCACAGTCAAATGGTACTAGATACTGTAAATATATTAGAATAGTATTTGTTGAGTACAATTGAGGAATCCAATTAAGTTATATTATTGTATATCATTTAAATGTCTATAGAGTATTTTAAATTATTGTGAACTACACTGAGTAAAAAAAAATATATATATATTATTACACCAACCACCCTGAAAAGTGGACCAAAATGACACTTTCTTAGTTGCCCCTCATTGAAATAACTTTTAGCTATCCTGATATTTCTACTGTGGATTTGATTTCAAAATTAAAATTCTTCAGAGCAGCTTTGCTCTTTTAGGGTGGGGTGTTCAGAGAGGTACTATAGAGCACAGAGCAGGGGGCAACCACAGCAGTGCATGGACTTTGAGCTATGACTGGGAAAAGAGCAGTGCATTTTGGTTAAGATAGCACCACTGTTGATATACTAAAGCACATGTGAACAAGACAGTGACAGCCTTCTAACAAAGGCTCATGACTGCAATTAGCTTACAAATAGCATTATCCTAAACAAATGCAGTTCAAAGAGCTGTTGACAGTAGAACGTTTGAATGCTAACAGCAACACAACATGGTTTACAATAATTAGAAATGACAGAGCTCAAAATAATGTATCTTATTAAAGAATTTAAGAACAAAGATCAATGTTTACTATGTTAATGTTTTGTGGCAAGGAAAAAAAGAAAATGAAACGTGTTTCATTAAAACTTAACTTTTACCCCTTCCAGCCCTTTTTCATTGTGTTTGCTACCCCACCCTTCAACAAATATGATGTTTAAAAATTGTGCAGTGATCATCTAAAAGAAGCTTCGCAATCTACAACAGATATGCATGTGTAAGACAAGGTAATAATGGAAGATTTTGGTGTTGCCAAAGCCCATTCTTCTATGTATCCTGTAGGTAAGTAAACAAGGGAGGATAATGAAGAATATACAAGACATATGAAAGAAGGCCCTAGCTGACTAAAGACATATACCCATGCACAGATTTTAAATTGTAAAGGGTTGTTTATATGCTTAGGTCACAAATGTGAAAATACGTAGCTGAATTAGGATTCAAGAGAAAATTGTACAGTATTAAATCAATTGATACTTTTATCAGGGTAGAAATCACTCCTCAGTAGTGTCACTAGCATCATTTTATAGCAAATACAAAGAGTATAGTCTATGATGGAATATTTCCCTCCTTTGAATTAAGAATAAATTCAAAGTAACTTCATTAAAATGAATTCAATTACTCTAGGTTTATACAAGCACAGATACAAGTCAAATTTAATTCAAAGATACCAGGAAGCAATATACCTTCTTTGTAATTATATCACAGGCAACTTCTTATTAAAGTTGTATGTAGTCAAGGTGTATTTCTACAACAGAACTGGAAAGTAGATGAAACACATCCAAAGGTTTGTAAATCTAAATTATGCTGCAAGTAGAAGTTCTGGGTAATTGTTTCATTTCAATAACGTTTTACTATATTTTTATAGTTTGTTTTGAGAATACAAAGTGATGCTGTAAAAATAATAGTTCAAAAGTACAGTGTCACACTCCTGTTACACTAGGTTTCCCATGGAAATAGCTTGATTGTATATATAAGCCCTTCAGCCATGCAGAAGAGATATTTCTGCCTTATCCCTTGTGAACTGAAACCTCTGTGTTCCCTGGAAACCTCCTTCTCTGAAGCTTGAAACAATTAGCCATCATGGCAGTTGTCACAGCCTGACTGAATGGCTGCTCGTTTCACTTTTGATCATTAAGAAATATTGCAATGACAGCTCCCAGAGTGAAGGCAGTACTGTAAGTATAGGAACAAAAGCCCAGCATTCTTTTCTCAGAGTGACACCAATAGATGAGGATGATTGCATCTATGCTTCAAACTCAAATTAAAATGAGAAACAGTCTGTATGGGGTTGAAACTATACTAATCATTATATTATGTATTTAAATTCATATATTATTTTATAGGTGACCCAAACCAAATCCAAACCCCTGTAACTTTGGAACCAGTTGCGTCCAAAGCCAAACTTTGTGCCTCAGCCTCTACATTTCCTTGTCCAGCAACCTAGAAAATAGTAGGGATTTTCAGTCCTGATCCTGCCATTGGAATCCCACTGCAAGGTCCCCTTCATTGCAGACCTAATTAAAAGAGAAGTGCCTTCCTAATTAACTTTGGCAGCTATCAATGAAAACTGAGCTCTCCTCATTTCATGGAACATCCATTGAGTGCTAATGTGTTTTCTCTTAATTTCTGGCATTGCTTTGGATTCTTAGTGCATGCTTTGCTCTCCTTCATACTATGAGCAGGAGTGGATGCTGGGTTGTGCCAAAGCAGTTCTGATTTTTCCTATCATCCCATTCTTGTTGCTTCCTTTTGACTAAAAAATATTTCACTACAGAAAAAATTCCAGGATGTCTTTGCAAGCTAGATCAATGCCCTACTGACATGATGATACAGCATTCTTATCTTTGGTTCTCATAGAATTTCCCCTTCAAGGGCATGCACCAAGTGAGTTACTTAATATATTGTGGTACTTCTGTGAAGTGTCCTAGCATGAATTTATTGTTTTGCTTTTCTAGATATTTTGCCAGTGTATTTCATGCTGCTTTAACTGACCTAGCTATTCCTGAACATACATTAAACTGCCTTTTTTTTTTTTTTTTTTTTTA